ATGCCGTGCTCTACAATGCATCTCGTACCCTTTCGGGATCATCGCCCTGCTTGACATCCGACTGTGCGAGTAGAGAGGGGATCTGCGCCATGGTAAGGGATGGGAGGGAGGGGTAGGATGTCAGATATGACGCGGGCGCACCTAGCTTGACCTCTTCCCCTCGCCCCCCCCCCCCCCCCCACCCCACCCCCCGCGGGCCCCATGGATGGCCAGAAGAGGCCCTCCAAGGCCACACCCTTGCTGCCAAAGATCTCTCTGTTTATCCTCGTTGCCCAGTTTGTGTTACTATATGTGTCTTGTCGTTCCTTTGTCCCGTCAGCTCTCATTAGCAACGCTTATGAGCGGGCTGATGGGGATACTTTTTTGGTCGCGGCCGCGAGCGAAGAGCGCAGGCGGCGAACAGGGTGTCCCGGCCGACGGGCAAGCCCAATTAGTTACTGGGCGCGACACAAGCCATCCGGGCCAGCTCACAAGGCGGCAGCTGGGGCAGCAGGGCGGGGGCTGGCTGGCTGATCTGGAACGCCCAGGGAAGCTCGAGCAACGTGCAGCCCTGAGCAAAATGCCAGGCTGATGGGGATACTTTTTTTATTACAGCCGCGGGCGGAAGCGCCAGCGGCGGCGAGTAACGGTCGGGCTGCGGCCGAAACTAATTGGCCGGACGCGCGTGCGGGCCGCGGCCGGCGCCGGGCGGCGGGTGCAAGGGTGCAGCAGCCCAGGGAGTCTGACGGCGGGACCAGCACCCAGGGAGCAGTAACTTCGCTGCCAAAGTGGCGCGATGCAATACCCCCAACGTGTCAGAGGCCATAGTAAGCAGTACGCCCTGAGACACCATCTGAACAGTAGGGAGTCTCCAACCTCAGCGCGGGAATGGCGTACAAGGGGTCCCAGGGTGCCTGCCATGCACTAGCATCGACCGAGAGACACGCAAGCTGTCGCCAGACGGGCTGATGGGGATACGCGAAGCGTGAAGAATTCGTCTCTCGCCTTCGCGCCGCGCACATCTGTCTTAAAACACTGCAGCAGTTTCACTTGTGGAGAGTGGGTGTTTTTCAACATTTGGCTCTCGCCTTGACGCCGCGCGCAATCGTCCTAACAGTGTGCATCCGTGTCACTGATGGGGGGCGGGTCGTGTTCAAGATGTCGTTCTCGCCTCAGCGCCGCGCGCATGACTTCTTACAGTTCGCAACAGCCTCACCGATGGATGGCAGTTCCTTTCGAGAATGTGGCTCTCGCCGTAGCGCCGCGCAAATTCACCTTGAACGTTTTCCACATATTCAAGGATTCGTACGGTCGAAGTCCCAGGAAAGTTGTTATCGCACGATTTAGGGTTGCCAAGACGCTACAGTCACTGCGATGTTGAAGTCCCAGGGTGGTGTGCTGGCACGATTTACATTTGTCCAGGCGTAACAGTCACGTTGATCCGCGGCGCTGAAATAGCAGAAGCGGCGTCTTGACCCGATTGAGGATTCTCAAACGATTGTCTTCGGATGGGCCACTTCCCGCAACGAAGATACATTCTTTCAGGGACCATTGAAGAGGGAACTTGGAGGGAATGGCAGTTGCAACATCGTTAGTTCATCTTGGGGGTGCACTGGTCCTCCTCCTGGTTCCTGGTTCCTGCCGGCTAGAGTGGTCGGTGGACGCAGCCCTTCCCCCCCTCAGGGCCAGTCGGCCCGTAGGGGGGTTGATCGAATTAGAGCCAGGTGACCCTGGAAGCACCGCTCCAGGGGCCACCAGCAGCACACGCGTTAACGTGTGGCAGGAAATACATGTTTGAAGCAAACGAGCAGGAAGGGGAGGAAGAGAGATGCACCAACATCCACCAGAATCATGTAGACATCACGCTGGTCCTCCTCCTCCTCCTCCTGATTCCTGGTTCCTGCTGACGTTCGAAGTCTCCGGCTGCCACTCCCCCCCAGGGACGGTCGTCGCTGGGCAGGACGAGGAGGGGCAAGGTTGAGCAGCATGAGCAGGATCGGAAGAATGAGGATGAGCAGCAGGAAGGAGATGAGGAGCAGCAGCAACAGCGGTAGGACCAGGAGCACGGGAGGGTCGAGAAGAGTGACCAGGAGACGAGCGAGGACGACGAGGGAGGAGGAAGAGGTAGAGGAAGAGCAGGATAAACATAACAAAGAGAAAGAGGAGGAGGAGGAGGAGGACAGGAGAAACAGCAGCAGGATAATGAGGAATTTTCGGACGCTGCTGGGCGCTTGAGCCAGGCAGCGTCACAAGCGTGCTCAGCTCCTCTGCGCAGGAAATTCTGCGTGCACCGAGCGAATCAGAAGATCCGGGGTAACGTCACTGTGCCCCATGGCCACGAAGAGCTAAAGGAAGGGGCCCCGCTGACTCCTGTACAAAGACATGCTCGCAAGCCGCATCTGTCCACATCAGATTCGATGCAGGCGATAAGTAGCTGTTTTTTTATTACTGCTTCGCCGCCGCCGTCCGCCCCCGCCATCCCCTCCTCCTCCCCCCGTAGAGCAGACACTGGCTGCTCTGGGCGGCTGCCTTTAGCGACTGGTCAGGACACTTCCCCCTGGTCTGCTTGCGCGATTGGCAGAAGCAGGTCGAGGAAGCTCCGGCCCGGACGCAGACCCCCCCCCCCTCCCCCACCCTTCGGCCAAACGTCGAAACACATAATAAGAAAACGCCTACCAACCTGATGACACAGCGCGGTACACTTGGGGAAAACTGCGCGTGAACTGGCGCACGGAGTGGAGGAAAAGCGGGGAGGAGGGAGCGGAGGCGGAGGAGGCGCCAGGTTTGGACGAGAGGAAAAGCGGGAGAAGGAAGAGGAAAGAGGAGGAGGAGGAGGAGGACAGGAGAGAAGGAAGAGGAGAGCAGGAGGAGGAGGAGGAGAAGATGGAAGAGGAGAGAAGAGGAGGAGACGAAGGAGGAGAGGCGAGGAGGAGGAGGAGGAGGAGGAGGAGGAGCAGTGTATACCCAAGGACCATCAACGATATTGTAGTAAGATCCCCCTCCAAGCTGCCTCTTCACAGCCCCGTACAAATACTCATTTTCAATGTAAGAAATGCCCCGTTGGAAAATAACCGTTTGCCAATCCTGAACCGTGCCAGAACGTAGTTCATGGGACATCAACGCCGCGAATCACATGTTCTCTTGCGTCTTGACGATCATGAACCGTGCCAGAACACCACTCCTGGGACTTCAACGCCACGAATCAATTATCATAATCCTTGAAACTGTTGGCTCGAAACGAATGTGCGCGGCGCTGCAGTGAGAACCACATTGTGAACACGACCTGCCCTCCGTACGTGAAGCTCTTGTAATGTTTTCACTGGGTGTGCGCGGCGCTACAGCGATAACCACATTTTGAAAACGACCAGCCCTCCATACGTGAAGCTCTTGCAGCTTGTTAATCGGAAAAGCGCGGCGCTGGGCGAGAACCACATGTTGGAAACTACCTGCCCCCATTCCGTGCAACTACTGCACACAATTAGAATCGAATGTGCGCGGCGCTATGACGAGACCCACATGCTGGAAACTACCTGCCCTCACTCCGTGCAACTAACTATAACACCTGCCCTCAAGATGTGAAGCTCTGGCACTTTCTAAATTTCAAGATCTACATAGTGAGGCAGTCTCAAGTGAAACGCCCCGCCCTCCCTTCCGACTGGCCTCGAGGTGCGACAGGAGGAGTTGCTCATGAGAGAAAGGAAGGAAGCAGGAGCGGGCGGAGGGGGAGGAGGAGGAGGAGGAGGAGGAGGAGGAGGAGGAGATGGAGGAGGAGGAGGAGGAGGAGGAGGACTAGGAGGAGAGGGAGGAGAGAGGGAGGAGGAGGAGGAGGAGGAGGAGGAGGAGGGGATGGAGGAGGAGCAGGAGGAGGAGGACAGAGCACACTGTTGCGAAACAGGGCCTCCCAGCATTGCTTCCCTTGAGGAGCTGCTGACACTTTGGAGGCCCCCCCAGGGTCTCCGGGGGGGTACCTTCTGGGGGAGGCCGCTCGCCCCACCCCAAAAAAGCACAATCGAAACATCACATAAAAAACAACAGGTGGCAGTGCCTTTTGGCATCACCGGCGGCGCGGGGGGGGGTAACTTTAGGTCGGGCCTGTCCCCCTACAGGGGGATTTTGGACGAAAAAGAAAAATATGCAAAAATATTGACAAGATGCCCCGAAATACTCAACAAATAATCCCCAGGCCATTTCGGACAAACAAACATTTCAAAACAATTATGAAACATACCAAAACAAAAAAACAAACTCGTCTCCAGACGTTGTAGAAACTATGTTTAAACATCCCCCCTGTAGAGGGACAGGCCCGACTTAAGGGTAACCACGGCCGCGCTAACGGCGTGCTTGGTTAACGATGCGGTTGGGAATCTGGTCTTTGGGACACCGAGCGCACGCAGAGCAAGACGTGGGAAATCACGAGTCACCCTTTCCTGCATTGCAGATGTTCGAATGTATCGGACGAAAGCGACACAGCGAGTTGTAGGACAACGCGAGCCACGCGTTCCTACAAATGGGTTTGCCACGGGCACTCTTTCCGACAACTGGTTTTCCGACATCGCCGTTGGCTATCACACCGTTAGCGCGTCTACGGGGTAAGGGGGAGTGAAGAAGGATTCTTCGAAGCAGGCTACTTCTTCCAGTAGGAGCTCGTCCACAAGAACCCGTCCGCAAGAAACCCAACCCTGAGACCCCAGGAAATACATTGATTGTTGGTAGGAACGTCACGCGCTCCATCGCAAAAACATCGAAAACCAAGAAACCCAGGGCACCCGGGAGGCAAGCAGGGTGTTCCGTAGCATGGGTTTCCACTGTAGAGGGCGCCGGCCCTACATCTGTAGACAAGGCCCGCGCCTTCCAAGAAGCAGGGGTGCTTCTGAGAAGCCTTCCCCTCTCCCCCCTGCCCCCCTCTTCGCGCGGCCGACATTCATCATTATGAACGGTCTGCCAGACTCGACTTATGCTGGGAGACGCGCTGGGCCCTGTCCGTCTCATTCGAGCCAGGAGCCAGCCCACTCGAGCTGGCATCAGCAAGTCATGTACCCCACGTAATACGATGCGTCCACAGGCATGTTCGGCGTAATACTTGCAACCGAGTGCAGCGCGTCCACTGAGTACTTTCGGTTCACGAAGTTGTTCACCTCTGGCTGCTTGGACCTGTGAAGGCTTGCCAGGCTCGCGATGCATCCTGCCAGCTCGGCCTGGATTCAGCAATAAAAACCACAACGCAAACAAAACATCGTTTCGGCTGCCCCTTCGTTGTTTTTGTGTGCCTTCCTCGCTGTCCCGCCGATCCTCCGCTATCGGCTGAACACACGAGTGACCCCAGGCAAGAGGGGACCCCTGGAGCGCCCAGTAACGGGGCGCAAAGTGGCCAAATCCAAGCGCGCAAGCAGCCGCTGTCGCATCGCAAACAGCGATCGAGGGGGGCCCGATAAGCCCGCATCCATGGCCACTCCGACGAAGGATCACTCTTACGTGAACGGTTTCGGAAACCCTGAACCCAAATAACGTTTTCATCTCTTAGGGGGCGCATCTTTTCCTTCCGCCGCTTTTCGCTGGCCTTCCGCCGGCTTCCGCCGGCGGAGGCGGCCTCGTTTTACTTCCGCAGCCTTCCGCAGCCTTCCGCCGAGGACGAGATGACAACTCCTTCGATCCTCGAAGGCGAGGCCCTTTTTGGAACGCCCCACGTGTAGCCGACGTTCGCTTCCGCCAGCGGAACCGCCCCCCTTCTACTGCCGCCGGCTCCCGCTGGATGAGCAGATGCACCGACGGTGAGGCTACTTCTGGAGCACCCCAGCTGTTCTGCCCCCCCCGCTCGGTGCTCGGCTAGCCAGGGGCCCCTCTTCGAATGCGGGGGCATCGAATACAGACCCTGGGGAATGTCTTGCGCATGCCAAGAACGGACAACCGTCAGATCACCGAAACCAGCTTAGGGAGACAAGGGCGCCTCAGGACGGCCAAAATCGAACACAACCGCTGACAAAGTGCTCGTGCAAAGGGCGGCGGGTTCTTCCCCGAGGGGCCCTTCAGAGAATTCCACTTACAGCCGAACGCTGGTTCATGAAAACCACTATTCCAGAAATCTGGGCCAGCTTCCTAGAAACTGATTCAACCAGGCCAGGGCCGACTTCTGCTGTAAACGCTGGAATGGCGCCTGTGGCCAGACTTCCAGCAAGCGGGTCAAGAGACGCTGGCCCAGATGTTCGAGAGGAGGTGTCTTAATGATATGCTCGACCGCAGCACAGACAGTCAAAAACCCTAATAAGGACGCGCGGTAAGGACGCAAGACCCTTGGAAGCCGAAGTTGGGATTTTGGGGCGGCGGACGACGAAAACCTCAAGGACGCAAGAGCAAGGAAGAGCAAGGACGCAAGGGTACCCTGAGCAAAGTCGCGCCTGCTTATTCGGGTTGTTGACTGCAGTGGTTGTTCTTCGCTCTAAGTGTGCGCGGATCGGAGCGCCTCGAGCTCGACGTGGGCGCTCTGCAGCAGCTTCGCCTTCCAGCGGGGCGCGCGCCGGACGCTGACGCCCTGCGCGGCATACTGCCTGCTGAGCACGCAGGCCGCGGCGGCGACGGCCTGCGGCCTGATCGCGAGGAGGAGGAGGAGGAGGAGGAGCATTGCCCATCCCAACAGAGAGGTTCCCCACTCCACTCCAGGATCTCACCCCGAGGGGTATATCGTGTCTAACGTCTGGATGTTCAGTCACGGTGTGTCCAGTGCCTGGTCTCTGCCGCTGGGGTCCCAGGTGGGTGCCAATCCCCGCGCAGGGCAGCCAAACAGAAAGGACATCCGTGCCCATCTCGTTGGACCCGCGACCGCCTCCGCCTGTTGGGAATCCTGCCGACAAACGGCCTCCAGAGGTGGTGGCTGTCTCCGCCCCAGGGGGCAGAAGCAGCCACGTGCACCCCTCGGGGCTGCTGGAGCACCGAGCGTCGGGGGGCTGCTGTGGTCGCAGATCGGGCTCCGTCCGGGGAGGAGAAAGGGGGAGGATAGAATCCCGACAGGACGTTTCAACAACATTGACTTTTCGGAGGTCCGCGCGGCCTTCCGAGCATGTTATGCCTATGCCGACGCATGCGTTCCTGGAGGAGGGGGGGAGAGGAGCACTGGAGAAGAGGTGTCCTGAAGGCGAGGAAGGCGGAGTCCAGCGCCGCGAGCTCGATGAGGTAGTTCGCGAGGCTGAAGCTCTGCTCGGTCCACCCCGTCCTGCGCAGGAGTCGGCGCAGGAACGTGTAGGGCGTGGGCTGGAGGAGACCGAATCCCAGCGCGCCCAGCACCTGGCCAGGCACTGCACGTCGTTCTCTTGTCTAGTCAATCGGATTTGAATGCCTTGTTCTGGTCCACTTTTCCCTGATCCCGTGTCAATGCCTTAAAGTGGGGGCCCGACCACAAGAAACCTTCCACAAGAAACCCGACCCTGAGACCCCAGGAAGCCTGCTGATGTTGGTGGGAGAACGCCACGCGTTCGGCAGCAAAACCATCGAAACCCAAGAAGCCTAGGGCACCCTGGAGGCGAGCAGCATGTTTCTTGGCATGGGCCTCCTCTGTATTCTGTATCACGTTTCCCTGCACCTGGCCGAGCATGGACTGCACCTCCTGGATGGTGCACGTGCCGTCGGTCACCATGCTGACCCACGACGAGACCTGGAGGTCGTCCTGCAGGCAATGCTCTGGTTTGGGCTGGTCTGGAGGAGGAAAAGGAAAGCGCGACCACAATGCTTCATACGCAGGGGAACAAACAATGACATAAGCATAACAAATCTGGGGTCCGCGCGGATTTCTTGGATCGGCGATGCGACCCCCTGGCGGCGCCTCCGGCGCCGCCCCTGGCGCGCTCCGCGCGCCTGGGAAGAGGGTCCAACGCGGATCCAAGAAATCCGCGCGGACCTCCGGGTCTTTAACTTTATGTCGTTGTTCGATCCCCTAACAAAGTTTCATACGAATCGCCCACAACGGCTGTGCGAATCAAACGGTCGCAGTGTACGAACTGGGAGCATCACCCGCGCCGACTTGCGATCGGCAAATTCGTGCAACGAGCCGTGGCCTGAATGGGGAACCATCCTCCAGGCGGTGCTCTTGCTCTGGCTGTTTCGGGAAAGGAGGACAGATAGGAGTAACCGACCGCAGAACTTCATACGGTTCGGCCTCAAACGGTGTGCGAATCAGAAGGTCGCCAGGCAAACCGGGAACCTCACCCAAGCCGACCTGGGACAGGCAAGCTCATGCAGTGACCCGTGGCCTGAAAAAGAGAATCCGCGGCCAGCCCGGGGGGGAACTGAGGGGGGAACAGGCCATCCGGAGGGCTCGGAAGCTTTCCCCAGCCTTCTAAGAAACGCCTGAGCCTTCCCCGAGGACGCAGAAACCGTCTCAGAAGGCCATGGGGCTCCTGCGAAGTCCCGCCGCCGTCCGAGAAGGCCTTCTCCTTCTCATTTCCCCACCCCCCTCGCTCGCCGCCGACAGGCAGTGACCCGCGGCTTGAAAGAGGAGGCGTCCTCCAGGCAGTGCTCGGCGCGGTACCCGCTGGCCAGGAGCGTGGACGCCACGGCCGCCAGCTGCAGCTCGGTGCGCTGCACCGGGCGGTGCGCGACGTAGGCGTCCACGTGGCGGTAGGTGCGAAACAGCATGTCCTGCGGGTCGGCCTCCTCCTCATCCTGCTCCTGCTACTGCTCCTGCTCCTCCTCCTCTTCCTCCTCCTCCTCCTCCTCCTCCTCCTCCTGCTCCTCCTCCTCCTCCTCCTCCTCCTCCTCCTCCTCCTCCTCCTCTGCCTCCTCCTCCTCCTCTGCCTCCTCCTCCTCTGTCTCCTCCTCCTCTGCCTCCTCCGCCTTCTTCTTCCTTCCTTCCTTCCTTTCTTCTCGCCTTCCTTCCTTCGTTCGCGTATTCCTGCTCCTCCTCCCCCTCCTCGTCATCTTCCTCCTCCCCCTCCTCGTCCTTTTCCTCGTCCGTTTCCACCTCCTCCTCCTCCTCCTCCGCCGCCTCCTCCTCATCCGAAGTCAGCTGTGTTTGCGCTTCGCGCTGCGCGACGCGCGAACACCTTAGCGCTCCCGCGCCACCCCCCCACCCCGAGGGGAGAAGAGGAGAACGAGGAGGAGGACGAGGAATGGGGGATCGCCCATCGCGAACAGCGAGAGAATAACTTCGCGCCCTCCTGGCGGCCCTCGGCAGGAGTCCTGCGGATCGGCCGGGCCATCCCTGCACGCCGGCGGCATCTGCACGCCGCTGTGCACCTGCGCGATCCACTCGAACAGGACGGATCGGATCTTGCCCACGTCGGCCGAGGGGGAGCCCGCGCCAACGGGGCGCACCGGGTCCACCTCCAGGAAGGCGTCACACCTCGCCATGCGCTGGATTGCCGCCTTCCCAGCGTCGCTGATCTGGTTGCCCCAGAGGTCGACCTCCTCGATCGTCGTGCTGCGACTCAGCGCCTTTGGCAGGGCTACCCCCGCTGATAATCCTCCTCCTCCTCCGCCTCCTCTTGCTCCTCTTTCTCCTCCTCATCCTCCTCCTCCTCCTCTTCTCGAACGTCGCGCTGCGACTCGGCGCCGCTGCCAAGGCATCAGCCTCCTCTCTTTCTCCCCCTCGCCATCTCGTGGCACGCCCGAAAGAAAGACATAACAAATGGCGACGCCAAACAGGAAATGTGGTTCAAAACCGAAACCGGCCACTGTTGGGCCAGCAACGTCCAGCCCAACTGGACGACGTCCAGGGCGCCACCGACAACGGTTCCTGCTCAGAATGGGCAAGAACTGCTGTCCATCTTCGCCCCGTTATTTCCATCCCTATGTTCAGCCTCCTGACCAGCCTCTTCCTCCTCCTCCTCCTCCTCCTCCTCCTCCGCAGGTATCTGCCTCCACCGAGCTTGCACGGACCCGCTGCGCCAGATATCTCAACTGGGGCCTTTTTTGCGCGGGGGGCCTGCGAGGGCCCGAAGCGCGGCACGAGAGCGCGCCATGGCTTGCTCACGACGCCCGACCCGATCCGACCAACTGTTCACGGTCCTGCAGGGATGGTGCTGCACACTTAGAAGAAGAAAACAACACAGAAACACAAACTGTTGGCGCTCCGCGCGGATGTCTTGGATTCGCGCTGGACCCCCCTCCCTGGCGCGCGGAGCGCGCCAGGGGCGGCGCCGGAGGCGCCGCCGGGGGGCCCAGGCGAGGATCCAAGAAGTCCGCGCGGAGCGCCAACAGTTTATGTTTATGCGGTTTTGTCTTCTTCGAGTACTTTCGGCGGTGGACAAAGCTCCCTTTAGCAAACCTCCCCTTAGTGAAAACGACCTAAGGCCGAAATCGACGGACCCGGACCCGCAAAAATGACGGCCGCAACGCCCTCTCGCGAACCGACAGCGGCCAATTCCTCAATCGACGTGTCAGGGTAGGAGGTCTGCCCACCTCCGATACTTCCCCGCCCCCCACGAGCTCGGCCTCCGCCAAGGCTTCCGCACCGACGTCGCCGATGGCGTTGTCGCGCAGGGAGAGGCGCCGGATCCCAGCGCCGGCCCTCGCGGGTGCGGTCAGGAAGCTGCGGGGGTGGTAAGAGTCGCCCCCCCCACCCAGGGGGTTGTGAGAGTCGCCCCCCCATCGGGGGAGGACGCTGGAGGAGGAGGACAGACAGACAGACAAACAGACAAACGACAGACACAGACAGACAGACAGACAGACAGACAGACAGACAGACAGACAGACAGACAGACAGACAGACAGACGGGGAGGCAGGCAGGCAGGCAGGCAGGCAGACAGGCAGGCAGGCAGGCAGGCATGCAGGCAGGCAGGCAGGCAGACAGACAGACACACAGACGCACAGACGCACAGGCACACAGACAGACAGACAGACAGACAGACAGACAGACAGACAGACAGACAGACAGACGGACAGACAGACAGACAGACAGACAGACAGACAGACAGACAGACAGATAGACAAACAAAAAACAAACAGACAGCCAGCCAACCAGCCAGCCAGCCAGCCTGCCAGACAGACAGACAGACAGACGGCGCCTCGGAGAGGTCGGGAAGTGACCGCACCACGAACGGGCCTCCGCGAGTTCAAAACCACACGAGAAGGGACATACCCATGCCAGCCTCGATCCCTAGGCGCAGCCGCACTGGCTGCCGCCGCCCCAGCGCCGCGCCGCAGCACCGCCGAGACGTCCCCCACCGCCACGGACGATACGAGGACACCCGCGGCCCGCCTTGCCTCCGCGCCGCCAGCCGCCACCGCATCCGCCGCAGCACCAGGCGCCGCCGAGGCCCGCAAAGCATCGGGCCGCGTCGCACGCCTCGGCGCAGCGAGGCGTGGCGGGAGGGCATCAGCCAAGAGGTCGTCGAGGGGGTCGCCGACGCCTGTAACAAACTCGAACGCCACCTCGCGCCGCAAGCTGTCATACACCTCGGTCACCGTGTTGACCATCTCCACCTCCTTCGTCGCCACTCCAGCATCTGCTCCTCTGTCATGCCCACGCGGGTGGCACCGCCGCCGAGGGGCGGCGGATAGCGCAGCCGCCTGCGTTGGCGGGGAGGGGTCGGGAGGGGGCGTCGTGAGCACGGCCACCGCCGTGCGGAGAAGGCCCTGAGCGGCGCGGATGAGGCGCACGGCCTCCCGCTGTCCGCCCGCCAGCCCTGCTGCCGCGTGCGTCACCAGGATGGCGCCGCACGCAGCCCCCAGCGTCGCCTTCACAACGCGGGCACCCTGCGTACGCGGCCGACGGCCCAGCGGCGTTAGACTTGAGCCAAGATGGCACTTGAGCCAAAATGGCCACGGGGACGAGGAGGAGGAGGAGCAGTGACCCAAGATGGAGAAAGAGGCGGGGGCATGGAAAGAGGAAGCGCATGTGCCCGAGCCATGGGAGCGTGCCCGCCCTACCGCTCGCGGCGACGCCCAGGCGCGGCGCTCGAGCCATGACGCACGCGAGGCCACGCCAGCGCGCCGTTGCCGACGCCATCGCCAAGACGGAGGGTTGTCCGAGCGCGTGGCGGCCCCGCGATCTCCCGGCTCAGGAGGCTGCCGCGAGGGGGCCCACAGCTGCCTGGCGAGCAGCACGCCACAGGCGCTGGCTCGCCACCGAAGCAGCAGTTGGGCGCCAGCACCAGGGGGAGAATTACATCGTCATCCGGGTCGCCCCAGAAGTTGGCACACCAAGCCCGCAGTGGACCACAACAGCCACTGGGCCACGAGTGCACAGACTACTGCCGCGCCTGCATGGAGTACCCTGGCCACTGCATGGAGTACGTATCCCAACGGTGGCTGGCAGCCACCGAGCGCGAACTGCGCCGCGGCACACCTGGCCGACGCCCACATCAGGGACAAGGCCCAGGCAGCGGTCCGCAGCGCGGCCGCGCGCCGAGAAGAGCGTGCCGACCCCCTCGCCTCCGCCAACATCGACGTCGACACCAACGTCGACGCCTCTGGCTCTGGCGGGCCCAGGGGTGCAGCCCGCGCCACCGCGCGCACGCCTGCGGGGCCCGCGCCGGCGAGAGCTCCTACGGGGGCAGCGGCAGCGGCCAGCGCCGCCGAAGCCTGCATGAAC